CCCAAGGAGTCCATTGAGCGCTCTCTGCCTGCTGCCAGACCTGAGGGATCAGAAGCAATCCAAGTTTTACAAAATAACTGCCTAGTGGGTGCAGTAGTACATGCCCATAATCCTGTCTGTTCAGGAGACTGAGGCAGGGGGATCAAGTTCAAGCCCAGCCTGGGTGACTGAGGAGACTCTGTCTCAAAACAAAGGAAAACATTTTAAAAGCCTCTATGTCTGATACAAAGAAACTGAGAACGAATCCAAAGCCTCGCGATTCCTTGTAGTAGCCTTTACAATACCGTCAGTTTTATGATAACCCAGGTGCCCAGCAGAGCTGGTACAAGCCGTAGCATACATCTCCTTGTTGGAATAAACTATGGCTGTTGAAAGAGATGGTTATGGAGACTCTGCCATACCACAGATAGAGCTATGAGAAAATGTTAAGTTCAAAAAAATAAATGCTCAAGTTTTAATAGTCGCTCTGATTATGACCTGTGAAAATGTGAGGATGACAAGAAAAGTGACTGCAAATGCCTTGTGCCGTGACATTGCAACTATGGGATGGAATGTGGAGGGTTTCTCCCTTGTCTTCTGAATCGCTAGTAATTTTTAACATTCTTTTATAATTTTTAATTGAAAAGAGAAAAGCAGTTTTATTTTTGGTGTTCTTGGCAAGCGTTGCCACTGAGGGTCTTAGACAAAGGTGGGCTACAGCTTGGATTTGGAGGCCCCGGCCCTGGCCAGTGAAGCCGCGGCACAGCCTTTGGGAGACACCGCTGCGCACACTGGCCAGGGAACCTGTTTTCTCAGCACAGCCTCTTGCTTCACTTCAGCTAAAATGCATAATGCAGAAGATAAATTACAGCTCAAACGTCTCCACTTCTGACATTTGTGCCGCTAATTAGTTTCTGTTCAGTGTTACATCCCATCTTCTCTGGTTTACTTTGAAAAAAGATACATAAATGTAAATATATTTTTACATAGCCAGATTTCCACTTCAATATTCAGAAGCAGATGTATAGTTTGTCTTCGCTGAGAACGTGACCAGTGCTCAGATACCACATTTATACCATTATATTTCACTTCATTCCTACAGCACGATAAAAGCAAGTCTGTTGGGAGAAGACCCGATTAAAAATAAAATCTTCACAATACAAGTATTCCGTCTTCAAATACCAGTTCCGTCAGGGTAAGAGTTACCACCACTCGTGTCATGCCAGGCACATGGGTGAGAGGCGTGTGTGAACACACGAGAGATGTCTAGCAGGTACCGCAGGCGCCCTTACAGTGGGCAGCCTGGGCTTCTGGGGAGACGGCTTTGCCCGGGTCCAACTCTGGGCTCATGCTTTTCCCTCGGCAGTGCAAGCCGTTGTCTTAATTTCCAAATGGAATTCAGTAGTCCAGGGAAGATGATCTGAACTGACTTGAGTATTTGATATGTAATTTTCCTCAGCCCACATCTTTATACAGCCAATATGCTCCCATAGTTTACCCCTTTCCTGTGAAACTGCTGGTGTTCTTTGAATTTTCAAGGGTAACCGCCACCTGCCTCCCTCTCATGCCCTGGGACACCTGCCCCGGTGGACTGTGCTACAGTCCCTCCAGGCCTCTTCCTCCTTTCCCGGGGAAACCTTGAGGTGATAACAGCACTACTTATTCCATTCAGCCATGTTCAGATGCCGCTGTTTAATCTTCCCAGACTCTTCTGGTAAAAATTGACCATGTAGCATAAATTGCTCATGTTTACGGATAGATTTATTTCCAGCACGAGGTCAATTAACTTGTTACACATGAATATATAGGTTTGGGGCTGGATGAAATTATACAATTAGCTTGTTACACTTGAATATATGTAGGTCTCGGGCTGGGCGAAATTATAAAGTGTGAATTCTGATGATTAGCTGTCGCTCTGGGGTAAAGTTGTCCCCAGGTCCTGCCATTGTTACTTTTTCTGCAGTTCTCAAGTCAGTCTGTTTTTCAGCACCCTTTCTGTACTTGTCCAGTTCAAAATCACCTACTTTTTCCTGACTGACTGTGGCAACTGGTCTTTCTGCCTCAGGGCTCTGGAGACCCAGAAGGAACAGCCTAACTTCACTGTTGTGCTCCAAGCCCACCGGTGGCCCGGCAGCAGGTGAACGCAGGCGTTCCCATTCCCCCTACAGAGGAGCCTGGTCTGTCTGGTCCTGCACAGCCGGTCTGTTGTGCTTTGTCCTTGCTCTGTTGGCCTTCCTCTTTATACCCCTCTTACCCAGCCAGCTCCTTCCCTCCTCCCAGGTGACTCAGGTGTCAGCCCTCCAAGACTCTGTCCCCAAGGGCCCTTCCCCAGCCCCATGCTAGCTTGTCCTCCTACTCTCTAGAGGTTCACGTCCCCATCCCTCGCACCCGCCTGTGCTCCTGGCAGAGGCTGAACTGACAAATCTGCACTCTTGGTCACCCAGCAAAACAGCCTGGAGTGAGGGAAAGCTCCAGCCAAAACTCTTGGAGGAAAGGGAAAGAACCCTCTCCCTTAGAAAAAGATCAACCCTGTGGCCCAACATGAGTGGGAACATGGCTGCGACCCTGTCCCAAGTAACAGCCTTGCTCCTGGCAGCCTCCCAGTCTCCCAGTTGGCGGTTACTGTGGCTCTGGGATGTTCACAGAACAAACAGCCCTGCAGGTGGGGTCCTCCCCAGGCCCTCAATGTTGAGTGCTTCCCACCTGCTTCTCTCCTCGGCTGGGCACTGGAACAAGCACAGTGGACAGGGAAGGGACACAGCCGCTAAGCACAGCGAAATAGAGTGGTGTTTGGGGCTCCCAGCCTTTCAGGAGCCCTGGGGTGGTTTTTTTGTTTTGCCTTTTCACTGCTGTTGTGCAGGTGATGCACAGGCCTCCCTCAATGAGCCTGCAGTTGCCAGGTGCCACCGGGCCCATGCAAGCACACAACACACATGCCAGGATTTGACTGCCCAAAGTGCAGGATGATTTTAGCAGTGCCTTAGATTTTCGGACAAAACATACTTCCCACATCTTGAGGCTTTGTTTTGTCAGTGACGAGTGGGAGCAGGTGGTGTAGACCGCGCATGAGATCACTTATCAGAGTGGTCAGTGAACCCCGAAGCTCAGGTCTGCAGGCCTCCCCAAGACCTTCTGGTCCTTTCTAGCCCCGGGCCTTGGTGTCTGTGCCTGTCAGTGGCCAGGTGTCAGCAGCAAGGCCCCCGGGGCTGGGGGTGTCTCTGTTCGTCCTTCACAGCCCTTCGTCCTTCATAGAAGGCTCTGCTTGGGCACAGCATGACCAGCAAAGGTATCTGCATTGTTCTTTCACATGGCTGTGTCAAGCCAGGCCTACAGGGTTGGGATGGGCCCTGTGAAGATGACTGCACACACACACAGAGATGCCTCTGTTCAAGAAGGTTCGCTTTCTTATCAGAAATCAGTAATTCATATATTAACAGAGTGATTAGCTTCCAGTCAAGAATGCTAACACTTTAAGGGCACAATTTAGAAGCAGGCTAAATTTGTCAAGTGACTGAAAGTGATGTTTTTCAGAAATTATTAGCTAATTTTTTTCAATATAGGATTTATAGTCACAATTAGTATATCGTAATGATGTTTCCAGGATAAAATACCAGTAGCTCAACTTTTCTGGCCACAAATGTACAACATATATCAGTTTATTTTTGGAGCTCTGAAAAATTAGCTACTGTAAATAAAGTCCCTAAGAAGACTTCTCCCGGAAAGAGGTGAACTTACAGTAATCTGGGTGATATATTATTAATTAATAACTATGACCAGCCACTGCTTCAATTAAGAGGGCAACGGATGAGGAGGCCTAATAGAGAGGACAAGCTGAATTTTAATCTCCAGGCCCTGGGGTCTGTTACATCCACTGGGGAGGCTGGTGGTAGACGTGGGCCTGGTGCCCTGCACTTGAGGCAGGCTCGCCAGGCACATGTCTCTCTTGGGCATTGCTCCTTTGGCTGCCAGTAATGGAGACCAGCTTCAAAATAACTTCAGCAGAATTCTTGGCTGCTAAAGTGTGCTGGTGAGCTGGAGGAGCTTCACATTCAGCCGAAGCCAGAAGTCCTGAAGCCCCTCATCCTAGCCTCTGTCCCGCGCAGGCCAGGCAGGCTGGCATCACTGTCCCAGGAGAGCTGCTCAGTGTCCCTACACAGGAAGTGTAGACCCGGCTGCAGGTGTGGCTAAGCAAGAAGCAGATCTTGACAAGGCCACACAGGAAGGGGCTATGGATGTAGCTTGAAGATGCACCTGGGGCGGCACCAGGCGAGCCAGGTCACCAAGAGTGGGCCGGGCTTTTCTCTACAGGTCAGTGGGAGAAGACACCCCAGGTGGGGCCTGTGGTCTGTAGAAGCAGTGGGGTGACATGAAATTGGACCAAGAGGCAATCTGAGAAACGACAGTGTCACTCTGAAAACGTTGGCAGGGAACAAGAATGAATTTGGATATGGGTCAGATTTATATGAGAGGACCAGAACAGTGGCTTCGATCTGTTTCCTGAAGTGCTGGCACCCATATCCCCATCCCTCCAGGGTAGAAGTGACCGGGCCTCTGGGAGCCACTTCCTTTCGGGTCCCAAGTCCAGAATACCCTGCAGGCAGGACTCTGAGCTCCCAGCAGGAGCCGGGCCGTGGGGAAACCTCCGTGAGAGCTTGGCTGTGGACCTGCTCCTTCTGTAGCTCGTGTAGTTGACTTTAAGCACTATTTTCTTTTTAGAGTGATAATTTGGGGTTAATTGGCCTTCTATCTTAAAAATACTCCCTTTTGCATGTAATTGTTCTGTAGAAGCATCTCCATAAAGCCTTGGCCCTCTCCTGAACACACTCCAGGGTGGAATGGAGCCCAACTAGCCGTTTGATCTTTCCTTTCTGTAGTCCGTTTTACACCTAGCCTGCGATGTGGACTCCGGCAAAGAGTGGCTGCTGCCCAGCCTCCACCTGCGTCCACTCGAGTGGGACAAGCGGGAACCTTCCCTGTAGGGAACTCGCCAGCATCGCCCCTCTTTCTCTCCCTCTCTCCAGGTCACGCAATATTTAAACTCACGTATCTAAGCAATCACGACTATAAACACCTCTACTTCGAATCTGATGCTGCTGCTGTCAATGAAATTGTACTCAAGGTAAGTTCCTTCTTGCCCAGGGGACAGGGTGTGTGGGGCTGGTTGTTTCAGGCACCAGTCCAGGCGCCTGTATCCAGGTTTGAACAGGAGGAGCCGTGCTGCTCAGATGATGAGCACGCAGGCCGGGACCACGCAGCCTGGCTCAGCAGCTCTGCACCCACTCTGCTAAAGCGCACCTCTGTCAGCTTCCTCTCCCCTGCCCAGTAGTCCTGCCTGTTCTTTTTGTGCGCCATTCATTTTCCTCCAACTGTCAGTGGCTCCTTGAGGCTCCTGGAGTGGACTCGGAGGAAATGATGGTCCAGAGACGACCTCGGCTGTGCTCTAGGTGATTTTTCTCAGCCTGTTCAAAACACCCAGACTGAGTTTGGCTTGTGTGTTACTGGACCTAAACAACCCTCCGTGGCCCCATCTACTGCTTAGGATACCATGGTGACCGTCCAGTCCCTGTCTCCAGAGAGTTCCACCTCTATCGGGAGACAGAATGAAACCATTACCAGGATATTAATAGCCACAGAGGTGCCATGTGGAAAGGGTGAGCGGACTGGCTGTGGATTAGGGAGGCGGAAGAGCTGAACCTGAATGAGGGGTAGAGTAGATTGCTGCCAAGCTGTAGAGGGTGGAGGTGGGCGCTCAAGGGTGGCTAGGAGGCTGGAGCAGCCAGGCCACACCACACCTCAGGGCAAGGCTGATGAGAGCAGCTCTGCTTAGCATAGTGGCTGCCTGGGTCTTGATTTGGGAGCCCTGCAGGAGGCAGGACTGCTGTTTCCCAGGAGCACCAGGTACTGCCCGGGCTGCTGACCATTGCCCCACGGGCTGAGCAGCCTAGGCCTTTCCTACACTGAGGCTTCTTCCTTCAGCCAAATCTTAGGTCATTTGACCAGATGGAAAAGCAGAGCTGATCTGGCTGAGGAGGGGTTAGAATCCCAGATGTTTCCTAACCACTAATTGGGTGGCCCTAGCTCGCTTCACCTCTCTGGGCCTCAGTTTCACCACCACCACCACCACCAAAATGCTGCTAGAGTGAAAATAAGACAAGAGGAACTAACTCTTCCTGGGTGTGCTTCAGTCTCTTCTTAAGTCACCAGGTAATAGGAGTAGTGAAGGTGCACCACGGGACTGCACGGCACAGGACCTGGGTTAAAGGCCCCACCCGTCCTCTTGCGCTGAATCTTCGCAACTCTGTGAGACAAGCCTGTGAAATCGTTCCCATTTCCTAGGTGAAAATGAGGCTCAAGAGGAAAGAAACAAAACAACTGAGCCAGGGATTCAACTCAGTGGCACCGAGCCTGCCTTGCAAGCACAAGGTCCTGAGTTCAATCCCTGGTACGAAAAAAACTTAGCCAGGACGGTGATGCTGGTAAGTTAGCAGCACCAGAACTTGAGCATAGGTTTGCAGGTTCCTCATCCCTCAAATCTATGCAGCCTTGAGGAACTGACTGGGAGACTTCAGCACCGTGGAATTGTTTCACGGGCACATTTTGAGCAGAGTCCCCACAGCTGCAGAAGGTCTTCAAAAGTGATAGGTGAGAATTAAAAGGATGAAACTGCTTGGAGGATGGTTTGGGGCCAAGGTAGAGTGGCATGGTCACTGGATGGAAGGTGGGGGTCTGCAGGCCACTGACTGAGCCCCTGTGAGCCAGGGGACCCAGTGCCCACCCAGGAGTGCTGGCCACCACTGAGCTAAGTTACCTGCCAGATCACCGTCAAACAGCCACAGGAATTTGTGCAAGGTGTTTAGGGAGTAGGTAAAGAAATATTCCAGTACCCGGAGAGGATCTGGACCTATTTTTATAGCCAGCATTAAAATATTCAAGACTTCAGAAGGATTCTAGTAAAATTATAATCCTGTGTTTGACATCAAAATAATTTTCACAACAGCAGATTGATGACAGAAACACAGGTTTATGACTTCAATATGAGACTCTGGAAGATCAAGTGCAAAGAAATCATTTTACAGGACCAAATGCTCCTTCGAAGCAGATGCTTGCTGCAGAATCCCTGAGGCCTGTCGCCTCCCCTGAAATGTCTGTTTTCATATCAAAATGTTTGTAGAAACACTGCATCATGCAAGAGACTCCAGGAGGGTTGCAGCAAGCCCAGGCCTGATTTACTCGGAGCTAATGATCGTGGTCTGCTGGAAGATTGAATTTCACTTCCCTAACTCTGATTTTTATAGCAGTTTAAATACCGAGCCTCAGCCACCTTTCCCCCAGGGTCAGGCCTCTCTCTGTGCAGTGTACCAGCTCTAGGTGACTGAGGCCCAGCCCTGTGTCCCTCAGAGGCTTTTCAGGGTCAGATTCAGACTCAAGGAACCATGCATGTTAGGACTTCCATGTCAGAGGACAGCTGTAGGCCGAAGTTAAAAGGAGGAAGTCAGAGCCAGAGGCTGTCAGAACAGCTGTTCTGCTCAGGCAGCCCTCCGTCAAGTTATTTTCTCTCCTCTTTTCCTCCATGTAGAAATATAAATCTCCCAGTTTTTTATACCAACTATATATGATTCTATGTACATTGTCCCATCTTGTCTCGCCCACTGCTCCACAGTGTAGACGGAAGCCCAAGGCCACAGAGCTTGAAAAAGTGGAGCCTGGGCTTGAAGTGGCCAAGGAGCCCAAGGGCTGCTCTCCTATTGGGGTACCGCTGAGCCACACTCTGTGTGGTCCCCAGTTCTGCAGGCTCAGAAATGAATCTCTAAGGAATCACTGGGCTCCTCAAATCGGGTTCTCTTGGTGATGGAATGACGGAAGCTGTGGCTTTATTGACCATGAAAACTCTCTATATTTTTATGCCTTAAGCTGTAAAATGCATTGAAAGTGAAACACTCTACAGTGCATAAAATTGTGCAAGTTTTAAGCCACAGCATATTAACCAGCTAATGGCAGACCAAAGGGCGTTTTTATCTTTTGATTATTACATTAATCTTCCATTAAAATTATCTATGTGATTATCACAAAGCCCTAAAGATAATAAATTTAGGAAATAATTGGCTTGTTAAGGATTATTTTTAAATGCTTTTATCAAATTGTGTACCAAAAATACACTGAAAACACTAGGTTGACTGAGAGTGCAAACGCTGTGACCCATAGTTTGCCGTTATTAAGAAAGATAAAACCTCCGCTTTCCATACATTGTCTGCGTTGTCCCGGGTCGGCCCCGGCCCCATGCTCATGATTGATTGCTCTCAGCTGGTGGTTTGGCGAAGCAGTGGCCGGGCATGTCGGGCCTTCTGTGCCCACACACCCGCCTTCACTGCCTGCTGCTAGCAACCAGAGCGGAAAGTTTGGGGACAGTGTGGGTGTGTGGGGGCCATCGCGTGCTGTCCCCTTGAGAGCTCTGGTCCCTGTCACAGCCCCTCCCTTGAGCACCAGAGTAAAGCCTGCATGGGCCTGGCTCCTCCTCTAACCAGCAGTCTAACTTTTAGAAGTCTGAGGGTGTGGAGAAAGTGTTCTTAGCCCAGGCAGAGGCCTGCCGGGGGTCAAGGGAGCTGTGGCTTAGGGTGCTGCACAGGGTGGCCTTGTCCCAACTCCTCAGTGACCTTGGCCTCCTGGGTCCTCCCTCCTCTCTGAGCCTCACTCTCCTTCCTGTCCAGGAGCCCTGGCTGGCTGCTGTGAATGGTGCAGTAGGAAGCCCCCTGCTAAGTGTAGAGCTTCGTTTGAGTTTTTTATCACTGTGATGTTTTCGTTCTTCAGATGCAGAGGGTAGTGGTTGTGTAGGTTGTGGGGCCCAGGCTCCAAGGCAGGCAGGGAGCAGAGCCAGCAAGTCTAGCGTGGCCCCCTGGGAGGCAGCACGCACCAAGGAGGGACATGAGCCCTACCTCTCCCTGAGCAAACCAGACCAGCCTCGTCATCCAGGGCAAAAAGTGGCGGCCCTGATGCCTGGGACTCCAGCCACAACAGTGTACCTGGCCGTGGGCACCCTTCCTTCTAGCCCTGCTTCATTCACCCCACGAGCGGCAGGCACTGGCAAGTGACAGGTGTGTCCTCTTGCTTTCTAGGTTAACTACATCCTGGAGTCACGAGCAAGCACTGCCCGCGCTGACTATTTTGCTCAGAAACAAAAAAAATTGAACAGACGTACAAGCTTCAGCTTCCAGAAGGAAAAGAAATCAGGACAGCAGTGACACTGGCCTCCACCCTCAATCTGTCACTGCAGCTCGGAGCCCGCCTGCCAGGGCCAAGTGGCCCTAGAGCTCACCCCACATCCTGCAGTGCCTGGGGGAGGCCAGCCCTGGGCCCTGGGCCCTGAGCTGGGGCGTTCTCGGGGAAGGGGTACAGGTGGGGTACCTAGGCTGGTGTGCAGAGGACGTGACATGGACCGCGGTGGCTTTGAGTTAGTGACGCCCAGGGGCCAGACCAGCCCCAAGGGGCCACAGGCCACGAGGCCATCTTCACTGCCCGACGACCCCGCCAGAGGGTGTACATAGCTGTGCCAGACATTTCCTTGCAACTTGATCAAATTTCTTAAAGCAAACGAAGAACAAAAATGTACATTTCTTTTTCCCCCCACTTTTAATAAACAGGTGTACTCTTTATCATGGTTGGTATGATGGACCATTCTTTGGGGTGGAGGATTGATTATGTTATTCCCTTTAAAATCTGTTCCCATATTGAACGGGCAGATTGGAAAAGCTATGGTTCGATTTCTCAGAAGAAATGTTTAGGGCTTAGTCAATAGTTTTAACTATGCCATTTGTTTAAATGAGTGCATTTGCTTCGAGGATAGTGCCGTACTAAAAGTTAGGAAGGAGGACCTGGCGCTGCGTGTCCAAGGCTGGGCCGTTTCCCCTTAGAAGCCCTCTCTCCGTGGCCCAGCGCCTCTGGCTTCACAAATGGGGCGCTGGGGGTCGGAGGTGATGGCTGCTCTTCGGGTCATGACGAGCCGGCCAGCATGGTCTTTTCCATTTCTTATAGCAAGTGGGAGTTCCAGCCGACGGTTAGACGTACATGAGGTGCCCCGACCTGGGGGGTCTGTGCGCTCCCGCCTGCTCGCTCACCGCGCATGCCCAGTGCGAGCCCACCGGAAGCTGCTGTCCGCCGGAAGCGGAAGAAGCCGTGTCCCGGCAGACAGAGGCGCTCCTGTTACCACACATCTGTCCACACCAGATGCCTCTGCGGGCCCCGCCCGGTCTCCCAGTGACGTCCTTACGTACTGTCCGCGGCCAGGGCCAAGGGCCAAATGTCTCACTTAGGACCTGCATTTAAAACATTTTTTAAGTCGTTGTACAGGAAGAGATGTGTCTAAACAGCAATCGCAAAGTCAAGAGTGTTCCTTTGCACAGGGATCGTTTTAATGAATTCCTCTTTCATTCTGCCCTTTGTTCAGCCAACAGGAGCACCCTTTTCTAAAAGAAATATTATTTGTAGCTTGCTATCTGTATTTAAATTTTTAGCAATTTTATATTTAGATATCTTTGAAAAATGTAAATGACTAATTTGGTCATTAAATCTTGTGACATATTCAATATTAAAATACTATTAAAAATGTCATACAAACACTATCTTTGGCATACTGCTTTGAGTTCCTGAAGTCTTGAGTGCATGATGCTAAAGACTGTGATTCCACGGGTCTCCCGGTGACACAGGCTGGCATTTGGTGCCCAGCGCCTGAATTGCACCACCGTTACAGGGGTGGCACTGAAATTATCACCTCCAGCTACATTGGTCATTCCTTACTCGCGACACAGCACAGTCTGTCAAACGCATCCAGATGAAGGAGTGACTTCAGGGGACCGCTGTATGACCAGTGCTGGGCCAGACCCCAAAACTTGATACTCGTTTTGTCCTACGTCCCCTCCTCCCACTCCACACCCAGATTTTAAAGCAAGGCCCAGGACACAAGCATCTCATGCCATCCTCAGAGCCAGGCTGGCGCAGCCTGAGCTCAGCATGTCCCAATGAAGCCCAGTGACCTGACGTCCCAATGCGGCTTCCAGAAGGTCTCCCAGCCTGGTGCCAGTGTGGACACTGCCCACAGTGGTGCCTGAAGCCACTGTCCTGCTCATTCGTGGCTGGGCCTCTGCACCCCCTGGGGAAGCCTGCTGTGCCCAGGCCGTGGTCTGTGCCCCTCCCCTCACTGTCCATGGTCTGGCTGTCCCTGTCACTACCTCCATCTCCAAAGTGAGGACTCAGGGATTGGGTCATCTCACTGGCCCCAGACACCATGAGCGGCCGGCATCATGGCCCCGCTCTTCACGTGGACTCCCGCCTCCACAGTTGCTTCCTAACTGGGCAGTGAAGGTGCTGCATTAGCTGAGCTCTGCTGGCCCTTCTGGGGTGACGCACACCCCAGGGTCGTGGGAGCTGCGTGTACCCGCCGGTGGTTCCTGTCACAGGGGTGCCCCTGCGGAGTTGAGGTGCTGGGAGCCCTTAGTCCAGTCCCCCTGCAGTCTCCTCCCTGAAGCCTGCCAGCTGCTTCCTCAGACTCTGTCCCCCTAGATTAGGGGGTTCAGTCAGGCCATGGGGTGGGCGAGTGGCCTTCGGGTCACCCCGCCGTGAGCTCCAGACAGGCACTGTGGGGCCCAGCACGCTCAGGGAGGGTGCAGGGCAGGCAGAAGATGAGGAGGTGGGAGGGGCAGTGGAGCACAGGCCAAAGGCCCGAGTGTGAGGAGCAGCAGTTGAGCTGGGAGCTCGTGCCACCCCCCCCCAGCCTGATGGAGAGGAAAAGCCACAGCTTCCCAGTGGACACTCTGTGCCATGCAACCTGACAATCCCCTTCCTTTCTTGGGGTCCGGACACCTGAGGCAGGTGGGCCATTAAGCTCCTGCAGCCTAAATTGAATGAAGCATGAGACCCTACCCCAGCCCACCCCGGGGAGAGGGGATGGGGTTGAGGTGCAGTTTGGATTAATGTTTGGTATATCTTCCAGAAAATTAAAAAAATGTAAAACACCCACCTGGAAGCTCCTGGACACAGAGTAGGTGTCTCCCTGTCTTCCCTCCTGGCCCCTAGGTCCCCCCCCCACCATCTCTGTCACAGGATCCCCCAGGCCTCTGTCACACTGGCCTTCCACCCGCCCGGCCCTTCCTCACCCAATGATTTCGAAAGCAAAGCAGAAGCCTGACTGGCCGGGCCACTCCAGCTGCATTGCTGTCTGCTGCAGGTGAGTTACCTTACTTTGTGGGCCTCCCCTTTCCCTTCCGTCCTCCCAGGGTGTGGCGAGGCCTTGTCAGCATCAACAGGCAGGCCAGCTCCACAGTGTCAACCAGCAGCCTCCCTGCTTCCATGGCTCGAGAGTCAGCCGCAGGTCCCACATCGGCCTCCCACAAAGGCTGGGGCAGGGGACACAGCACTGGGAAGCATGCTTGCCACTTACATGCCATTGGCCGGAATCACTCAGTGACACCTACTCCAGCGGGCCAGGGAGTGTAACCACTGAGGATTGAAAGTCACATAAGCGGGGCATTGTGGCACATGCCTGTAATCCCAGCTCTTGGGAGCCTGAAACAGAAGGATCACCACGAGTTTGAGGCCAGCCTGAGCTACATAATGAGTTCAAGATCAGCCTGGACTACATAGTAAGACCCCATCTCAAAACACTAAAAAAAAAAAAAAAAAAAGCCACAGATGTTTGGGAAACCATCATAATATCTGCTGTAATGTCACAATAGCATCCTAAGATGACACCATGCTTCCAAATGTCACCATTGACAGGCCGCCCAGCCACCTGTAATCCCAGCACTTGGGAGGCTGAGGCAGGAGGACCGCTGTGAGTTTGAGACCAACCTGAGCTACATAGTGAGTTCCAGGTCAGTCTCAACTACATAGTGAGATCCTGTCTCAAAAAAAAAAAACGGGGAGGCCACCACCAGAAAGTAACACTTTCTCCAGGATCCCAGTCTGGCGTTCTCTGCCTTAAACTCCACTGGAAATAAGAGGATCAGGGAATCATGGAGTTGGTAAGCTGCAGATCTGTTTTTTGGTGCTCGTTAAAATAAATACATAACCATTCAAATTAAAAACATCCATCCCTGCCAGAGGATGTAGCTTAGTGGTGCTGTGCCTGCCTGGGAAGCAAAAGGATCTGAGTTCGATCCCCGGTACCAAAAATAAATAAGTAAATAAATCATCCATCCTTGCCTGGGGTGGTGGTGCACACCTATAATCTAAGCTACTTGGGAGGCTGAGGCAGGAGGATTGCAAGTTCCAGGCCAATTTAGGCAACTTAGCAAGAATTTGTCTCTCAAAAAATAAAAAGGGCTGGGAGTGTAGCTCAGTGCAAAGGCCCTGGATTCAATCTCCAGTACCAAAACAGTCCGTCTTTGTAATTAGCACTAGTCTTCCAACAGAACCTGCTCCAGCCTCTTATAAAGCTGTCAACTCAAGGTCAGTTACTGTTCTATTAGTCACTCTCATTCATCCCATCCTCACACCCAGCTGATCCCCACTTTACAGATGAGGAAACTGAGGCAAGGAGAGCCAAAGTCAGTGCCCCCAGGACCTGCAGCGTGGGAGCGGAGTTGTCTGGGATCTTCTCCTGCCCCTGCCCGGGCCCCACTGGGCCTCGCCGTGGCCGAGCAGGCCCAGGACCCAGATCCTCTAGCCCCAATGGCTCGGGCTGTCACGTTCCCTTCCCACCGCACACCTCCGCTCAAGTGCCAACTCCCAGCAGGGGCAGCCAGCGCGGCGGACGCCCGGAGAGTGATTTGTGGGCCTCCGAGCCCGGTAATCTCGTCAGTGTAATGGGATTATATTTCAAATCGCCACGGCCTGTTCATTACCCGTGTAAACTCCTCTGACAGAGGAAAACTTGCATACAGCGGCCCCCACCGACTGCCCCGCTCTCCTGCCTGATTAGACAAACAGATGCTGAGGTCTGGAATGAAGAAATAATGCGCCCATTTACTCATTTTTCTGACAAGTCACAACAGATTTCTAACTGCCAGTGAGTGACCTCCCGGAGGTGCCCGCCAGGCAGCTCTTAGCCTTAGTAACACCCCCCCAGCCGGGCCCAAGTGGCAGCGGGAGGGTGCGGGGGAGCTGCCTCGCAAGGCCCCCACTGCCACCCCAGGGCCGGCTAGGGACCCCGCAGGGCGACCAGGCGACTGGGTTGCTCTGAATTCTCTCGGCCCCAGCGAGCAACCCCAGCCCTGCCCGAGCCTAGCCGGTGTTGAGAACACCCGAGTTCACCCAAGCCTCACTTACCCTGGCCGTAAAACAGAGGCCGTGAGAGCCCCGCCAGGCGTGGGGGTTCCCCGGACAGCCGTCCCATCAGCTGCGCGCTGCCCTGGGGGAGGCCGGGGGTCACAGTCACGGGTCTCAGCCGGCAGAGGACGCGCAGGGATCTCAGCCCACAGCCTCTCCTCTCCCTGGCCACTGCAGAGCAGAGGTGGGCTGGGGTTAGGGGGCAGCTGGCTCAGGAGCCCCAGCTCTGCCCACCCCACCCCTGCCAAGTCCTGCCCAGGCCACCTCCTCATTCGCAGGCTTCTGGAGGTCCATGCAGCCCCCTGGGCCGCCATCTAGAGGCCCCACCCAGCAGTGGGCACCAGAAGAGACCAAAGTCTCCGCTTCCCTGTCATTCACGGCCTCTGCGGCCCGTGACTCCGAATCCCCCGGTGTTTGGTCTGCGTGTTGCCCCTCTCCCTCCTCACCTTCCTGACAGCCAGGGCCCTGCCTCCCAGCCCAAGGCTGATGGACCACGCAGCCGAGGCTCTGCACCTCCCAGGGCTGTGTGACCTCAGACCCAAGACTCAGCCTCTCTGTGCTGTCCCCTCTCAGCACAAGGGAGGAGAAAATACAGGAAGGTACACAGGCACGGCAGAGTTTCGGTCACAGGTCCCCATAGCCCGGTTCCACACTCGCCGAGGACATACTGGCCAGGCTTCATCTCTGCAAGCCCCATCCCTGGCCCACTCCCCTTGCTCCTGCCTACCTCTGCTGCTAGCCCCAGGCAGGGCTCCCATCTTAATGCGTTCACTCTGTGACTACGAAAGAAATACTGTGAGACTAATTCTTTTTAAAATGATAAAATTTGTCTGTATTACCACGTTCTAGCCCCCAGCTTCCTGGAAGCTAAAAATATTTTAATGTCGTATTTCCATGTAAATTTTAGTTTACAATTTAATACCCTTTTAACATACATTAAATTTTTTAGCATTCTTCAAGAGTATTTTAAGGGTTTATGCACAATGGAGAAAATGGCTGGGGGAGGCTGTCAGGAGAGAAGCTTCTAGAAGGTTACCTCGAATCTCCACACCCGCCTCCTCTTGGGAGTTGCTCTTCTGGGCAGACCCTGGGACCCCAAGGAGGAGCAAAGCCTCAATTCCTTGGAAGGAAACGGCTTTGACTGTTGCATCCAAAGAGTTCTCCCCAGCCACTCAGAGCCAAGGCGTGGGCCCTGCCAACTGCCCTGGCTCAGGGC